AGGAGGTGAGTTATTCACTGCAGGATTCCCAGCCTCTGACCTGCTGTTGTAATCACCATGTTTGATCAGAAACTCAACTGGATAGGTCACAATAGTAACCCCAATGATACTGATAACTGGGGAATTCCATGATAGTAACACCATTGGGACAGTGGTTAGATTATCTCCTTTTGGAGACAGCAAGTAGCATTCACACCACACAAATGCTAGGTGTCAGCTCAGTGCCTGGATATTGGCCAGAGTACGATGCAGTTAAACATGAAATGCTTCATTATCTGAGGAATTATGAAAATGTGCTGAACGTTGTTCACTGATGATTGCACACCCCCACTAGCCTTATGATTTGAGGGGGGGAAAAAAAAAAAAACAACAGGTCATTGTGAAGCAGCTGAAAATTGTTGGGCTGAGGACAATATGCTGAGATGACTGACCTCCAACAACCACAACCATCTTATGTGCCACATGACTCCAACCAGCTGAGTTTGCCCCTGGTACCCATTGATCCCAGTTTTGCTAAGGCTCCTCGATGCCACAGTCAAATACTGACTTGGTGTCAATGGTTATCAAGCATCTTCCCACAGCTTTGGAATTCAGCTCTTTTCTCAGTGTTTGAACCAAGAATGTAATGAGGTCAGGAGCTGAGTGACCCTGGCAGAACCCAAACTGGCCATTGCTGAGCCAGGTGCTGCTTGATAGGACTGTTGATGACACCTTCCATCACTTTATGAGATTAGACTGATGCAGCAGTAATTGGGCAGGTTGGATTGCCCTGCGTTTTGTATACAGGACAGGTAATTTTCCACATTGTATTGGAAGAGCTTGGGTATAGGAGTAGCAAGTTCTGCAGCAGGGGTCTTCAGTACTATTTCCAGAATGTTGTCAGACCTATAGCCTTTGCTGTATCCAGTACCTCCAACTGTTTCTTGATATCACATGAAGTGAAACAAATTGGCTCAAGATGGTATTGGTAATGTTAGGGACCACTGGAGGAGGCCAAGATGTATCATCCACTTGGCACTACTTGCCAAAGATTGCTGTATAGGCTTATCTTTTGCCCAGATGTGTTAGGCTGATCCAGAGGAATCACAGCAGTCATGGTGGGATTCAAACCCAGGTTGCCAGAACATTAAGCCAAGTCTCCAGATAAACAGTCTAACAATAATAGAACTAAACCATCAATACACCACCTGACTGTCAAAACACTTTCCCCAGCAGCAAGAAATTCAGCCCTAGGCATATCTAATCTCCCCCCCAAAAAAAAAGCCATTTTGGCCCATACTGTTCTAGTCAATTGCCCCCTTTCCTTCCAAAGGAAGTCACTCTCATACACACCTCATGCATATTTTAGTCTCATGTTACTAATGTTTCATCCAAAACTACCGTTATGCAGTCACTATTCACACTAATTCCCAGGGAGATGGTATTCTGTACCCCTTTTGGAATGATAGGGACCACTCCTTCAAACCACATGACTATTGCTTAGAAAGCAGCTGCTTTAATGAGCAAGTGGCTGGAATTGGGCCTGATCTGCAGCATGCAGCCTAACAAGTAAAGGTCAGGGAGGCCTCAGCTGTAGAAAAGCAAGTTGGTTGTGTCAATTTACATGTTTTCATCTCTAGGTCAGCATCAGGTAGCAGATGAAACCTGTAATGAAGCCCAGACTGAATATGTCAAGGGAGACCAAAGCTTCCTCTTGAGCCAGCAGGAATCTATCAGATTGTTACCAAGGGACAATGTATGGTCTTTGGCAACATTGGTTCAGAGCTGGCTGATTGTTTAAAACTGGTCTGGAGGTCAAATTCAAAAATTTTAACCGACATCTCTAGTCTTGCTCTGCACTGGAGCAATTAGTGAAAGAATGTGAAGACAGTGCTGAATCTTATACCAAGTTTAATGTTCAATAATACATGACTTTATAAAGTGCAACAACCAAATCCAGGTGCACAAAAGAACAGATACACAGTACTGTGGCCATGAGGAATGGAGTGGGAAACCCCACCAACAGGCACTGTGCATACGAATCTGACAAGCACATGAGTGAAGATATACAGCCCACACCATCAACATGCAGAGTAATAGCTCTGTGCAGGCATCATGAAGTGAAGGGTCATCACCACCCACTACAGGTTTTCCCACTCTGGAAAAAAAATCAAGGGTACAAATCCCACATACATGTCAATTCAACCTCTGTTCCAAAGCCCAAAGTTAAAGACCACTGAAGATTCCCAGGACCATGCATGTAAACAAATACAAATTTATTGAACAGCATTTAATAAATACTATACAGACAATGCAAGATTTGTACATGATCTCTGTCCGTGATTAGCACACATTCTATGATATCCCCACCGCTCCAAATCCCAAAAACATTATCCTGAAGTAAGCTGGCTTCACGTAGTTGGCAGACTTCAAACATCTGTGATACTTCCGAGTGCGCAAATACATAGTTACATGATGAAAAATATCTAATGCTACTACATCTAAGAGAAAACTGGGCCTGAAAAAGTACTTACCCAGAATCTTTAATGACCCCATAAGTATTTCCTCTCCCCACTTCATTTCCAGTCTGAACCTTTCAAGGAAGAGGAATGCTTCCAAAAGCAAGCTGATCACCAACAGTGTTGTACGCAATATGATCAGTTTTGAGCATCCAGGTGACACTCAACACCGAGTAAAAAGAAAAAGAACCTGTGACTGTAAGCCAGTCAGCATTCACAGCCTCATTCACAGCCTCCGAAACCCTATCAGATCAGATCAGCAACATTCATTGGCATCTCATCCACAGTAGTGTTGTAGAATGACTCAATGTCACGGAGTGTTCGCCTATCCTCCTCAGTGATCAGGTTGATAGCAACCCCTTTCCGTCCAAAGCGGCCTCCACGGCCAATTCTGTGAGGGTAGGGAGTGAGCACAAGGAGGCAGAGTGATGAGAAAGAGCACAGCAAAGTGCCTGCAGTGAGGCAGACGCACCAGCCAATTGTGGAAAATAACTGCTCACACCACTTACCTGTGAATATAGTTCTCACGGTTGGAAGGCAGGTCATAGTTGATGACCAAGGACACTTGCTGCACATCAATTCCACGAGCCTAAAACGAGACCAGCAGTTCTATCAGTGATGACAACGAGCCAGAAAGCTGCACACCTTTCAGGCACAAAGACGCCAGTGGCTTCCAAACACTTCCTCTGACTTAACCAGATGCTAACAGTTTCCTTCTCCACAGGTACTGCTGGACTGGGGCCCAACTAACATCAACCCCAGCCAGCCGAAGGGGCAGTTCACGCACAGCACAAGGGGACCCACTTCACCAGTGCTTTAGGCAAGGTCTTAAAAAAAGCACAGTCAACTGTATATTTAGCAAACTTGGTCTAAGTCCAGAATCTATTGCAGACCACAGTCCAATATGCCATCAGAACGCCAAAATCCACAAAGCATATGAAACACAAGAGGCCCTCCTGAGTTCTGTTTAAAACAATCCTAGCAGATCACACCAATACCAAGTCATATAATCCTTCTCTGGTAGGAGGCTGTTACCATGCAGAGCTCTACTTGAACTCACCAGTAAGTCAGTAGTAATGAGAACGCGGCTAGACCCAGACCGGAACTCTCTCATGATGAGATCCCTCTCCTTCTGTTCCATGTCACCATGCTGTAAAGAGATGGACCATCAGTTGGACACCAACACAACAAACTAACTTCTCATAATTCATGGGGCAGGGACGGAGACAACAAATACCTCATTGGAAACAACCGCTCCCAGATTTGGTCACCAGAGGGAATGCTACAAACAGGGGTAAGTTAGTTTAACAATGGAATGCAACATTCATGAAGTGAAATGGAATTCCAAGATCATTCCAACACTTGATAATATTCCTCACCAGAGCAGAAACAGTGAAATCGCGTGCAAGCATTTTCTCAGTCAGCCAATCCACTTTTCTCCTGGTGTTGATGAATATAACAGCTTGTGTGATGGTAAGTGTCTCATATAGATCACACAAAGTGTCCAGCTTCCATTCCTTGAAACAAAGGCAGCAGGTTTAGACAGCATTACAAAATTAACTCAATGCTACCACATTCACATACCCAGCACCAAGACATACATGCTAATCTGCCAATGTTCTTGTCAACTGCATTTTAGTTGTGTAAAACCACTGAAGCTGTAATCCACAGTGGAGAGCAGCTTGTCTCTCTACCAGAGAGCTAAAATCAAGTAGGGCACAAAGCCCATGTTGAAACAAAGCTTTCTGGACACAATTTCATGTGCGCTCTCCTGGCTGAAGTAGAAGGTCCCAATGTGTCTCACCTCTCTCTCTACGTTAATGTAGAACTGCCGGATTCCCTCTAGGGTCAACTCCTCTTTCTTCACAAGAATACGAATTGGGTCACGCATGAATTTCTTGGTCACTTCCAACACATCAGAAGGCATTGTGGCAGATAGCAAAACCACCTAGAAGAGAGATAGAAAACTATATTCAGATGCACTGATCTGCAGTCAGGGCATTCAGTGATTGTGCCACCACATCAACGGGTGAAAGCACTGGACATTAAGAAAGAGGTCCACTTCCCCCAAATCAATGTGGGTGGGGCATTAATCTATGTCCCAACAAATCCAGCTGTCATTGATGAGAACATCAGATTTAACCAACATTCCCAGCTTCAGCAGGATGCTTGCAGAGGACAATTTATATTTCAAGTAACAGAAGCAGCTGGAACCAGGATGAGCGGATCTTTCAAGCTCTTAGTGGCAAACTGATCCTGAAAACCCGAGTTACTCAGCTCCAATGTGCCTGATATTTCAGCGATTATCCTGACCAGCATCTGGAGGGTGGGTCCCACAAATTGTCAGGAGTGCTCAATTTAATCTCCAACTTGTTTTAGAGAAGCCGCAAACATAATTTGAACCGTGCAAGTGTCCCACAAAATTGGGACACCTGCTCTAGCAAACAGCTGCTGTACCTGAATGGATGTGTTGAGTTTCTGGAAAATTTCATATATTTGGTCCTTGAACCCTCTGCTCAACATTTCGTCTGCTTCATCCAAAACAAACATCTTGATGTACCTTGTAGCTAAAGTAAAAAGGTAACTGTTAAAACCAACCAATTAATTAAGAAACAGTTCCACTCCTCCCCACTAAAATGAACCCAATGATATCTCTGAATCAGATGAGACTGTGAGCACCACCCCCCTCAGGAGCGCTGCATCAATAAAGACACATCACTTCATTCAAATGAGTCACTTCACCTTACAAAGGAGCAGTGCTCTGAAAGCTTGCAATTTCAAATAAACTGTTCTGTTGAGAGACTTCTGATTTTTCAGTGAAGACACAGGACTATCTGGGCACAGCCAAAAACACAGGTCAACTGTTACTGATGAGTTGCTTCTTGCGCAGAAGTGTGCAGGTAGAAAGCACTTTGAGATATGCAATATACAACTATGAAGCTTGAGCCATTTCTAATCTCCCAATTCTCAAAATTAAGCTTCCCACTCGAGTACTTACAAAGGTGCTGCCGGTTCATCATATCAAACACACGGCCTGGAGTGCCAACCACAATGTGGGGAGCTTCCAGCTGAAACTTCTGCATGTCCGATCGGATACTGGTGCCACCAATGCAGGAGAAGCAGGTCCCACCCATGTAATCACCCAAAGCCACTATGACCTTCTGAATCTAAGAAAATAAGGAGACAGAACCTTACCTAGGAGCTTTCTTCACATTTAGAGAACTCTGCAAAGAGAGGTCTATAAAGCTAAAGATCAGCAGTGATGGCCAAGTGACTGAAAACTGCATGCACAGAAATAATCTCTGCACTGGCCATGGGCCACCACCAATTCAAAGTTGCATGCAGAAGCGTTGTGCCAAAAACAAAAAGCACCCTTACCTGTAGGGCCAGCTCCCTTGTTGGGGCCAACACCAAAGCTTGTGTCTCCTTCAGGCCCACATCTAATTGTTGCAAGATAGAGATGGCAAATGTGGCAGTTTTGCCTGTACCTGACTGTGCTTGGGCAATGACATCATACTCTAGAAGAGGGGAAGGAAGGAAGGTCACAAGTTACTGAGAATTACTTTCTACTGTTCAATGCAACTGCTCAGAAATCTGGGGCAGAAAGCATGCAGCTCCCATCACCAAACCTAACCTCCCCAACGTGCTCATCTCTTGTTGGCCTGAAACAAATTAATGGCCAGTTCTTCTGTCACTCCAGAAAAGATCATTCATTCCCCACTATTTTGAAATCTGCTGGTTCCACTCCAGTGGTTTGTTCCTTTAAAATACAAATCAGCTGCTTGCATGCAACATCTTGTGACCATAATATGAACCAGTATTGATTCACTATTGGAACACACTGGGATGAATAATGGATTCATTAGTATACCCCAAATCAGATTAAGTCACAGTACCACAGCAAAAGGTACCTCCTTGCCCAGTGACTGGGGATAGAGTCAAACCTCTAAACTGGAAATCAGCATGAAGCAGTGTAATACAGATGGAAATATATCACACCGCATGCTAAAGCAATTCCTCATGTCATGAAACCCAGCCCTATGCAAGAGGTCTCTGCATAGCCAGGAATAAACTTTCAAACACATGGCAGTGCTAACTGTTCTTGAGAAGCACTCAACGCTGTGATCACCTTGTTACTAAACATGCCCTTGTGACTGGCCAGGAAACTTCAGTGCAATCCCTACCCCTGATGCAGGGAAGAATGGCTCGCTGCTGGATGGCAGACGGCTTCTCAAAACCATAAGCGTAGATTCCACGGAGCAGGTTTTCCCGAAGGTTCATGTCATCAAAGTTATCGACAATCTCAGTCCAGTTGCTCTGCAAATGAAGTATTCAAAAGGTCAATGGAAGCAAGCAGTGCTTCAGCACAACTCACCTTTCAAGCACTGATTGCATGTGAAACTTGAACACACCCCTTTGGAAGGCTTCTCTCCAGGGTACTGTTAGAATACCAACAGCCACAGAGAAAACAAAACAGTTAATGTTTTACAGCATCTGTAGACATTTCTTGAAGGAAAATCAGCTTCTGATCCCAGTGGTCCTCCATGAAGACATTGCTCACAGTCAAACCAAGGCAATGGGGAGCAAGAACAAAGGGATACCAAAGAGACATTGCAGACATTCTGCTGGGAACAGCCTCCTGCTACACTACATCTCCATGAAAAATGTTCAGTGTCAAACAGATAAATGCTGAGTCAGGAATGGAGAATCTAGTACTAAGGGGCCGATTGCCCTGGATAGGTGTTCACCATTTGGGACTGAGAAGGGAAGAACTTTCTCCAGAGGCAAAGTGTCTTTGAAATTCTCCTCCCCCAGGGGCTATAGATTCACACAACATAACAGATTTCAGCACATATGGTTGCATGCAACAACTTGTGACCATAGCATGAACCAGTATAGATTCACTATTGAAACATACTGGGATGAATAATGGATTCATTAGTATACCCCAAATCAGATTAAGTCTCAGTACCACAGCAAAGGTACCTCCGTGCCCAATGACTGGGGACACTCCAAGTGTTATGCAACCCAGGGTGTTTGGAAATGCCATTTAGTGTATGAGCAAACTGGAAGAACAGGAGTACACATTTCTGGACCTATGAATTCAAAGCTGCTCACCACCACATTCAGCCCACAGCCATGGCTTTACTTAACTCACCTCAATAACACCCTCAGGTTCCATTCTATCAGGACCGCCATGATCATTAGATCTGAAAAATAAAATCAGTAACTCGTTAGATCCTGCAACATTTCAAATTAAGATAACATTAAAAAAGGAGGAAAGGCTGAAACATTTGCAGTTGTGCAATGTCCTGACAAGAAATTCAAAGGTACACAATTGTCCAGTACTAAAGGTAAGAATGCAAATAAGGAGTAAAAATGCCAAGGCCCAGGATGCAGTCCAGACATTACTTTGAGCAGGGAAAAGAAAGTAAATGACTGTAGTAATGACATTGACAGGGTCACTCCAGATGTCAAATAACGTAATAACACATCAGCAATCAGTAGCTGAACTCATTTACAAAAGACGACAAGTATTACACAATTGTAAGAAAAGGGAAGATACTTGCCACTACTGGTCAGAGAGGATGGCTCAAATTCCTGACATACACAAAAGGGATGTGGAATTTAGCCTCAAACCCACCAGGCAAAGTCCACTGGCACCTCCACAGGGTTTGATCACACTCTTGTAAAATTCCTTAAAACCCCACAAGTGCACCATCACAATCCTAAATCCTGAAACCCCCCCAGGATACAATCACACGCCTGTATACCTCCTTAAACCTCCCAGTGGCATCATCACCATTGCATAATTGAAACCCACACACAATGACAATCACCACTACCTTATATAATTCCTTAAATCTCACACCAGGTATCATTTCACCGTTGTACAACTTCCAACGGTACCCCACAGGATATCATCACAGCCTCATACAATTGCTAATCGAGCATCATCCCACTCCCCTTGTACAATTCCTCAAGCCCATGCTCCCCCATACCCCTATATAAACTGTTAATCCCCCTGCACTGGGTAGCATCACACGCTGTGTGAACTCATTAAACCCCTGTGCGCTGGGCATCGTCAGGCCATTCATTAAATCCCATCCCGCCCTTGCCACTGCCTCTAACCCATGCGGAACCAACCACGCATGCGCAGAACGGGACCATGCCGAGCCAATGACGCAGGTATCGGGGGGGTAAGAAGAGAACGAGCAGCACGGCGCCTGCGCAGTGAAGGGGTGCGTGAACCTGCTCAACGACTCCCCCCAACCCCAATCTGAGTGAAACCACCAGCCGTACAGCGATCTGCGCAGGCGCAGTGCGGCGCTTCCTTTCAAAGCACTGACCTAACTCCACTGAGGAACCACCCCCCACCCCCCCTCAAGCTTTACCCCGTCCCGTCCACCATCTCTCACCATGTGGCGGTGCCGGTAAATACCACGGGG